GCCCACTCAAGACAACCTGACTCACCCAATCGAAATCGACAGCAAGGAAATCCAACGCAGTGACCTCATCCTAAATCTGGGGACGATACTGAAAGTTGACCTGAAATGGGAACAGCAATTAAACAAGATCCCACACAGCACAGGTATATCCCATAGGTATCCCAGTGATATCCCCTTGGGACAAGTACGAAGTCCCAGAGACAAGGAGTAGGGACATCTTAGGGATATCAAAATGTCTGGGTCCAATGACATCCCAAGGATGTCCCTTTCTTGAAGAACTAGCGCATCCCAGAGATGTCCCAGGGATATCCCCTAGGGACAAGTTCCGGACATTACTTGTGGGGACATCTCAAGGATATCAAAATGCGTGGACGTAAAGACATCCCAAGTATGTCTCTTCCGTGTAGCACAAGTATATCCGAAGGATGTCCTAGAGATATCGCCTAGGGACAGGTGAGAAGTCCCAGGTAGTACTTGCAGGCGCATTCCAATTGGCAATTGACTCATTTCCTACCGCACAGGTGAACTACTTACTTTCGAAGTTGTCTCTATTCGACCTAGGAACACCTAATCTTAGGTTCTTGAGTGATTGAAGCGTGACGATTATAGGGGGGAAAATCATGTTCTTAAAAAAGCTCCATCCTAGGAAACACATCTCCAATGGACAAAACTTATTATCTTTAAGTAAGAGGTCATGGGCGAGATGATTTAGCCTTACACCTTTTGAAAAGTATGGGCTCAGGCCTCCAACCAAGATAGTTGTATCCAGACATGCCGATCACTCATCATTAAATAAAATATAGCGGAATAAATTAAAATTCGGACCTCAATTTTTTCACTTCCCCTGGTGGGAGTTTTCCTGATGTATAGCACGAAAATCCTTACTTATCCTCAGGACAAATCAAGTAGATAAATTTAATAGAAAGGTCTAAGGTTGCTGATCAGGGCCCATGAGAGACATCTACCGTCGAAGCTATGCACCTGACTGAAGGCGACAAAGAGCACTGAAGATGCCTAAAGACATATAAGATGTCCCTAAGACATCCTCCTCAAGACATCGAAAAGCGTTCGACTGAAGATGTCTTCAAGATATCCCCTCCAGGATATCCAGAAGCATTCGACTAAGGATGACTTAAAGATATCCCTTTCGGAATATCTCTAAGGCAGTGTTTCCCAAACGGTGTGCCGCCAGAAAGGCTTAGGTGTGCCGTGAGATTTGAGAGTGGACAAAAAAAAAACTAAAAACCTAAAACTAAAAAAAAATTTAAAAGCAAGAGGGAAAGCCGTCTCTCAGTGGAAAACGCGCTTAGAGTTGCACTATGACGCCTCCCACACAGCACAGGGATATCCCAGGGATGTCCCTATCTGGACGACTTGTCCCCATGTCTTTATAGGATATCCTGAAGACATCTTCTTTCGGACGGTTTCGGACATCTCGTAAGGGATGTCTTCGGAGTGAGCCCTGATCTGCAACCTCAGATCTTTTCTATCGAATTAATCTATTCGTTTTGTCCTGAGGAAAAGTAAGGATTTTCGTACCATACATAAGGAAAACCGCCATCAGGGAAAGTGAAAAAATTGCGGTCCGAATTTTAATTTATTCCTTTATATTCTCATTAATGATGTCTGATTGGCATGTCTGGATACAACTATATTGGTTGGAGGCCTGAGCCAATACTATTTAAAAGGCATAAGACTGCATCATATCATCCATGACCCCTCGTGTAAAAGTGCTAAATTTCGTCCCTTGGAGATGTGTTTCCTATGATGGGGCTTCCTTCAGGAATGGTATTTTCCTCCTCCTTAATCGTTGCTCTTCAATCGATCAAGAACTTTAGATCAGGTGTTCCTATATAAAATAGAGACATCTACGAAAACAAATGGTTCTCCTGTGCGATAGGAAATGAGTCCATATGGGGTAGGAAGGAATAGGAAGGCCTCTACCTGAGACTTCTCACTTGTCCCAATGGGATATCCCTGGGACATCTCTGGGATGTGCTATTTCTTCAAGAAAGGGATATCCTTGGGATGTCATTGGGCCCAGACATTTTGATATCCCTACTCCTTGTCTTTGGGACATCGCACTTGTCCCAAGGGGATATCTTTGGGATATACCTGTGCTGTGTGGGCTTGTATCAAACAGCTGTGTTCAGCGAAGCAAGCACGTTTCCCATTTAAAGTAAGTAAATGGCTGAGTGTGACGTGGAAAGTTCAAGTGTCTTTATGTGTGACGCAAATAAAAAAAAAAAGATTGGGAACCACTGCTCTAAGATATCGACTGATGTCTAAAAGACGTCTCTTAGATATCCCGAAGACATCCTTTACGAGATGTCCGAAACCATCCGAAAGAAGATGTCTTCAGGATATCCTATAAAGACCAGGGGACAAGTCGTCCAGTTAGGGACATCCCTGTGCTGCGTGGGATGACACTAAAGAAAGCCGTCTACGCCCTGAAACTCTTGAAATCAGCAGGTACTTCCAAAGCACACCTCCAGAACGCATATAACTTTCTTCTTTCGCCCTCGTGCGAAGTATGCCAGTGTCACATGTGGTCCGAACCTCACAAAGATCCTTTCGGATCAGCTGAAGAGGGTTAACCGGACCGTCCATGTGCTACGGGCAGACATGCGCCTGCACAGACTGGGAGACGCTGAGAGTAAGACGCCAAAAATAACTGGCATGTATCGCAAAATCGACACCTTACTGGTGCCAAAAGCGAGAACGGAGGGGTACCGTAAAAGCACAATACCTACTGTGCAACGCATCCTCCGCGAGAATAGGCGCCGGCAGATTGAGACACGAACTGCTGAACTCTACTCCTTCAGGACAACCTCTCGACGCATTTGGTCCTTGCTGAATTTACTTTCTTTGTTTCGCCACTCTATTTTATTTATTGACACCTTATTATAGTATTTCCGTTCCAACGCTGATAGACAGTAATTGTACCCCAGGAATTCCTCCATGGAAAATAAAACGATGATGATAAGATCCACACGATTAACTGATTTTGTCGTAGCCCCTAAGAAGTTCCGACATACTAGTATACCCGTGCGACTTTTCCCTTGGGAATATCTCAAGGGAATGTTTTCAAGAGAGTCACCTGGTCAGTCTCTGAACTAAAGCAAGATATAACGTAGTGCGTTCGTCAAATCGATGGTCATCTGTTGACTCGCGTTATGTTCTGTTCGTTAGACGAGATCTCGTTTCGAAGCGTCCCATTCACTCTTAACCTCCTGAAAGTACTCGGCCTCTCTTATAAAAACAGGCTATGTAAGAACTCCGTGTTAGCTATTGATAAAATAATTTTTAGAATTATACGTGGCTCTACGCCCACTGATATCTCAAATTACGTCCAAAACACTGCTCATTTCACTTGAAGAACTCAGGGCCGCCCCATCTTCATACTCCCTCCTTCCACGTCTGCTTTTAAAAGCAGACGTTCAAAGTCTGAGCGGCAAAACTTTGAAACTCTCCAATGCTCTGTTCTTCCACTCGAACATAGCTTCTCATTCACTTGCCAAACAACTTAAATCGCACCAGCTTCGGTGTCAAACGACCCTAATTTCGGTTTTCAATTCCAGCATTCATTGCTTGAATGGAAAACCGAAATTGCCCTTGCTCTAATGGAGAACAGCCCAGATAGCATGCAACATATGGTAAATGTGGAAACCCTTGGCAGTACGTGCACATTGGTGAACAACGTTGACCCAACATGGCAATTTTAATGGGCATCCTGCATGATTGAATATATGTCAAAAGTGATATTACTGAAGTATATTTTAGATTTAACGGACAGCAGGAGGAAAATTCATTAATATCGGAAACTTTTCAATTAATTATATTGTGTAGTTAAATGTGCATTTCTTCAATAATCTTGTATTCATATACCTGTATAGTTCTTTTTCTAATTTCCATCGAATACCGATGTTTATAATGGTCAGTAACAAAAGCCTCTTAGGTATATCAAATGTGCAATAAACATATAAACAAATATGTAATAAACATTCCAGTTTTATCTATTCTGCACTGAAGCAGCTAGATGTTCCAATGCAGTATAGGTTGCATAGGTTGCTGTAATGTACAGCAGATTGATGTGGTGCAAAGGTTAAAACATGGGGATTATGGCTAAATCTCTGAATTTGTAAGGTTGTGGTTGCCAATCGATTCAAGTGTCGTCTGGATCAAGTTCAACTTGTTCTCTTGTTCTCCCCCTTTATTCGTTTATTTGATGTTCCCATGAGCTACAATTGTAATTTGGCTACTCAGTGAACTGATAAAGATGCCTTTTTGGGATAAAGAAGTAAACATGCAGTACACCAGTTAAATTACTCACTAGGCACATGAAAATCCAATGATACAACAAGCGTTCACTCAACCATCTGACCTCACATTGTTCAAAGGCTTCCATGGAGAAAGCCACCAACCTTAAATTTGTCATATGAAATATGACAAATTTCATATGTACATATTCAACAAGTAGTGAAATCGTTACATTCCTTAAAAAATGCAGCATATTTCACATTGCATGACATATTTGGATTTCTTCTTTTCAATATTGCCCAAGTGACAGTAGTGGGAAAAACTTTCTCCAGTTAGAGGAATAAATAAATAAATTAGGAAAAACTACAACTTTCTTTTGACATACTTCTCTCTAACCAGAACTAAGTGATCTGAATGATCTCACTTCAATTTGAGGTAACCATCGTTTTAACATTAAAAATGACTCCAAAACCAAACTGTAATGGAAACAGCTTTCTGCATGATTAGACATGATTTGCAAAAGTCCAATCATTGAATTTCTGAACATTTGTCAGGTGTTTGAATATTCTTTCACATCCAAGAATCTTCGGCAGGCAAAGCCATCTTGCTTTAATTTGTACTTGAAGAATGAAAAACACTTTCCAAACACTCTCCAAAGTCCAACTTTTGTGAATGTGGTATTAGTATCCACCATAACAGGAACCACTAACAACATTTTGCAATAGTACAAAAAACAACACTTGCAATATCAATCATTTTTCATTTTTCTTTTCCCTGGTTATGGAAAATAGTCTCGCATTCGAAGCCTTGGCACAATGTTCATGCTCTGCAGTTCCTGGAATAAGAGCTTGCAGGCATATGGGATGCGTAGGGAAGACACTGTCGAACTACTCTGACAGAAGTTGCACCAACCACTGTATGCAAGAAGGCCACATTCATTGCATACATCCACATTGAAAGCATCAGATGAGATCATCAACCTCTCCAAGAGGAGCATGCTAGAAGAGAATAAATGATATGTAGTTGACTGATGATGCACAATGTTTCCATGGATATATTGCCTTAAATTTGGTGTGAAATAAAACTAATGAGGATTTAAACAAAACTGACTTGAATACTTCAATACTTTTGTGGCACTAAAGATCAGTCTAGGAAACCAATGAGAAGACCTCAATTCTTCTGCATTTAAAGATCCTGGCAGTGTGCTTTGTATATGCAAAAAGCTTGTCCACTTTTGGGCTCTTTTTAGATTTTAATCTTGGGAGGATGCAGAGGAAAGTAGCATTTCAATATCCAATCAGATCTGCTGATTCACAGACTACTATACTACATGGATTTCTCCCACTGTTGCATCATAACATTTTTTTGAGAAATTAAAGTTGTGAAAAGTTGGCCTATGTGAATAGCCCTGGAATACTCAAGAAAGTCCTCCATGGTGATGTATGTGCACTGCATGGCGAAACAAAAAGAGAGTAAATCATGTAGGATGTCAGTTGCAGCATTTCAAGTGTTCAGTCAGCAATCCTGCCTATGCTGTCACTCCCTTGCTTTGTCAACTATGGATCCATCAATGTTGAGGGCTAGAAGGGAACTGGCAGTTTTAGTCAGTGACTGACACCCTGATCCAGACTGAAGGCTGTACATGTGTACTGCATCAAGTTCTGGGACTGCTATGGTAACAGCAGCAGAGATACAGTGTTTCCAGATTGACTTTAACCCCCCTACCCTCTTTCCATGGTGCTGTTGCCTGCAGTGACATGAGAGACATCTTGTCTTTATCATCATTACTCGTGACATGCTTATAAGTTGCACAAGGAGTGCAACGGTAGAGGTGTAAGTGGGTCAAGTCATTAAGACCCTGTTTTGAGTACAAAAAATACTAGACAAATACTAAATAGTATGACACTGTCTGCATAAACAGAAAGTGACTATTGTATAATACAAAATTTCAAAACACTGCTGGAATTCATATAGACAATTCAATCAAACCTGTTAAAATGTAACTATAGTTACTTTACATTGAGCTGAAATATATGACTTTGCAATACACTTAGCACATAATACTTTTTCAACTCTGATACTGGTCACTGACTTGCTGACCACTGCCTTACGGCAAGATTGAGGACTCAATTATGCCTCTTGCTTGAAGTGACATCTATTGCAAGTGTTAGAAGTACTACTTTGCTGAGCTGCCAACAAGGTCCATGGGAAAGTATGAAGCCCATGTTAACAGGGGTTAAAGTCAATCTGGAAACACTGTGAGAATGAAAAAAGAAAGAAAGATCCACTATATTTGGCATTTTCCTAAAGGTCCCAAGAGGAATGGCAGATAATGAAGCCTGCCAGTGGAAGGTGTCCAAGAGCAACCTTTCATCACTGTGGTGGTGCAAACAAGCACCAAGTGAACCTGTAGTGCCTACCTGGCTCCATATCCAATTAGGCAGTCTCTCTCCATCTCACCAAGGCGAAGTCCACCTTCACGACTCCTGCCCTCAGTGGGCTGCCGAGTCAGCACTGCCCTGGGTCCCTTTGCTCTTGCATGCATCTTGTCCAGGACCATATGCTTCAATTTCTGGTAATACACCTATGTGACACCCAGACACTTGTTCTTAAAAATCTAATACTTTAACCCAGAACACAAATTTCATCATACTAAAGAATAATACTGAACAAATTTTCATCACTGAAAGTGAGGTGTTTTTCACTTTATGAGGAAACCAAATCACTTTTTGAATTATTTTGTAGCGTGCCAGTAGAAAAGGAGGTTTACCAAACTGTCAATTTAACTAAGGGGGCAGTTGTATGTTGACAAAACAGGTTTGCTTGCATGATTAAAACCTTGCCAAACAAAAGTAAATTAATTTACTACCTATTGTGCAAAACTATTTGTAATATAAGCTGTATCCAGTATTGAAGAATAGCTGGGACAAGCTCAGCAAGAAATACTTCCAACAAATATTTCCCCAACAGACAGCACCTATCTGCATACAGCTCATAACTTCATCAAAATGATTCATGAATGGGGGAATTTTTTCACTCCATACCCATTGCCAGAATTGGCTTTCCAAAAAAATTTTTTTCCCCAGATGGATAAATCACCTTTGGAGAACTTGATACCAAGCCAAAGTGGACTTAGGAATGGGTAATAAATGGTTCAAGGGGAACATAAATACTAGTTCAAAGAGTGATATGAGCAATGGGTGAAGAGATGGTAAAAATATGTCTTGTTTACAGAGTAGTATTTTAAAAAAATCCATGTGGAATGAAGTAATTTTGACATGTGCATTGGCATCAGCTCATTTAAGTCCAAGAACTTTATTAATGTCCCTCACACAATGAGATGATGAAAATTCTAATAACCATGCATATCTCAGCTGAAAATGAAGACCTTGGCCCACAAGATCAGTTAATTCTCTATCTAAACAAGGTGAGCCTAGATTGAGTGAGAAGCCTTGCGGAGTAGTCACTACATTTCCATTGTAGTGACTACTGAGAAATTCCACGGGAAACCAATGCACCCTCAAAAGGGTGATCTGTCAGATTTTGATTTATGCTGAATGAGTATGGATTTGGTCCATGAAAAAATTAAAGCATGCTAAGTTTCATGAACCTGAGGTAAACTGTAACTGACATAGCACCCCAGATTTTTGGATAAAGTGACATGTTGACAGTGATCTAGAAAAATTTTTGGCAACTTGTTCTATCCCAGCTATGAAGTTCATTCATAACTCACTTTTTAGTGCTTTTCAAAGGCTTCGTATTGATGTAAGAAAATTGGCATTGGTTGAGTTTGAAAAATTACATGTTTGAAAGGTATCTGATCATATGACCCTTAACATGACAGATCACCCCGACATTGATTTCCTCAAATTTGGCATACATCATTTGCCATACTTTAACTGCCTCACTACAAGCAACAGAGACTTGTTGTACTACTATATTATTTTTTATTTCTAGTCACCACTGTGAGTTGCCCGAATCCCTTGTTAATTAAATGTATTGCTCTGCACCCTAAATTTCCTTTTAAAAGCTTTTAAGTGAATCTCATTCTCCACTAGTCCATGCTATTGGACAACATGAAATGGTGCTAAACTTCAAAATGCAGTAACCCCCTTTCATACTGGCATGTCAAGAAAGATGGGTTCATACAGTAATACAAAAAGTGAAATATAAGATCCTAGTACTAGTGTAAAAAAGAGAATTGAACATCACATTCATATTTTTATATATTTAAGGGCCATATACCATAGGGTGAAGCCCACCATAAATTGCACTGAGCTGCATAATATGTCACACATCCAACTTGATGGAGATAGTCAACTCACAGGACCAAAGTAGATGTATGCAGACAAGGGTTCACCTGTAATACCAGACATGAGAACATCCTTCCCTTGATAATTAAACCCTTTGGCTATGAGTTCAGCACTCACATCCTCCATTTTTGATCCACCAAATGCTAGACAGAGAAATGAAAGGAGATATGCCACTATGCAAACTTGTAAGAGAATCATTCTTCAGCAGTTGGAATGGAATAAGTGAAAGTATATTTATCTCATGTTCTTGAACTTTTTGCATTCATGCAAAGTAGGTCTGTACTGAGATATTGGTAACCACCAGTATCAGTCACTGATATGGCATTGTTGGTGCCTTCGACCATTGGCAGGTTGGTACGCTGCTGGTGCTGATGTCCAAAGATGAATAAGCAGAATAAACAAAAATAAAAATAAAACCACATGAACAGGGCTTGGTAACTGAATCTCAATGGCAATGGGAAAAAAATTATGGCTGTCCTAATGCATTCAATGATGTATGGATGTCATTTTTGATAGTTGTAAGCATGGTAGGCTTTATTATCTATTGTGAAGGTCACACCTCCCCCAACCACACTCCCTGATCACAGGCAAGAGATTATTAGAAGATTATTAGATTATGGAAGACAGATATACAGGGTGGTCCAAAAGTTATGATTGGATTGGCTTCATTGCAAAGTAGCTCACAAATGAGTCCATGACTTCAAATATTTTTATTGCATGGAATGTTATTTCAGACTATTCCCCATAGACCACTCATTCATCCCTGATGCTTCCTCTGTGGTGCTCAACGTCATGCATGTTGAAATATGCCACTGCATACTTTTATTCTTACAAGAGTCATGCCCACACAAGTGCTTTGAACCATCATGTTCATCCACACAGAACTATTGCTTTTTTAGCCCTGCATATTTTAACATGATATGCTGCCTGCTAAAGTAAATAATTACAGCTTATGTTAAATAACTGTTTATCCGTTTGTGACTTTTGGACCATCCTGTTCAGTAGGTCTGTGCCCCAATAGAGGCAAGAAATGATGAAAGTCAAACCTCCACCTGATCATGATAAGAGTGAATATGCCAGCACCCTTACCCCCGGGTGCATTGATGCACTATTGATATTTCAGGTCAAAACATGAATGTTTCTGAACCACCCAACATGGCAGCCATAATAAAATTGAATGTGGATTCCTAAAAGGTCTACTGCATATTTTAAAATTTGGTCAAGTGATTCTTTGCTGTTCCTCTACATGTCACAATAGGCACTGGCATTGGCACTGGCCAATAGGTATGAGAACATAACCAGCAGGCCAATGACCAAGCATGGCCATTGGTACAGCCCTAATTCTAAGTGACCTAGTGCAAAAATTCAAAACTCCTTGGTCCATACTCTCAACTCTCCAGATTTTCATTTGTACCTTCACACTGCACAATGTATCTCTGTAATCCATTATGAAAGATGAGATGGTACCAGTGAAAAATTCACAGGTTTCCATTTCAAGCTAATATAATTCCATCCTACAGCATTCAAAAGATACACACCCAGTGGCACAATCAAGGAAGAGGGAGGGGATTTAACTCCCCTGAAAGCCTGAAAACTGCACCTAAAGGTTAAGGGGGTTTGAGCTGTAACTCCTCCCTTCACTCTTTCGCTGCGAAAGGTGACTTCATTTGCCCATGGTTTTATTACCTCTTCAAAATGTATGCAGCAAAAGGGTTAGAGGCACATACAGAGGTAGGGAGAAATAATTGTTCCTTATGACTGCAGCAAATTCCAAAAAGCACCTCCTACACTTTCTTCACACCCCTAAGAATCTCTCTTCTTCTAACTGCAGATAATAGGCAGCAAGTGCAGGCAAATTCCCCTGCCTCAAAATGCTAGTTTGGTAGTACCACCAGACACATCATTTAAATTTCAAACAGTCATATCTACTGTAATATCAATAAAAGAGAATGGGTACAATAATCATGGACTGCAAAATCCCCTGTGAACAAAATGTTAGCAAGCTCCATCTCCTAGCATTCAAATAAGATGCACTGTTCAAATTTGGAACACTCAAGTGTAACACATGGAAAATAAAGGATGCTTCTCACCATGAGAGACTCTAACCAATGTAACTTAGAGTTCTGCATGAACTGGGTACCATCCCAATAGGCCCAACATGTAGATTGGGCTGTCAAGCCCAGTTGGCAATTATGTTTCAGGTTAGATGCAAACCAAGAGTTCATCAGAGACCTTGAGTTGTCGTTGGTGATCCCTCGGGGTTGAAGACGATGTCTTCCACAGGTCAAGGTCGGGGTTGGTGACTCCGTTGATGGCTGAGGAGGCCAATCTTTGAGCACAGTTCCTATGACAGATGTTGCATATTGTGATCAAGGGGGGGATTAGACCACAGTGTTCTTAGCCTTTTTCTCTCTCCTTTCTCCTTTGCTGTTTTTTGGCCTCTTGGGGGAGATGGTTCTCTTCAAAAAGAGAACTCTTTTTCATGAGTTGTCACCATTGGGATCTGTTCTCAGCTTGCTCTTCCCAGTTTTTTGGTGTTGATGCCACTTGACTTGAGATAAGTTTGGAGAGTGTTCTTGAAACATTTCTCCTGACCCCCATGAGTTCTCCAGCCTTGGCTGAGTTGGCTGTAGAGGATTTGCTTTGGGAGATGTTATTGGACACAGGCACACAGTGGCCAGACCACTGAAGTTGCCACTTGATGATCATTACTTCAATGCTGGTTGTATTTGCTTCTGCCAGTACACTGGCATTCATGCAGAGGTCTTTCCATTTGATCCGGAGAATCTTCCAGGGCTGTGCTGATGATGCCGCTCCAAACTCTTCCAGTGGATTTGGTTGGTCACCCAAGTTCCACTGCTGTAGAGCAGATTTGGAATGACGACAGTACTGTACACAAGGAGCTTCATTTGGGTCTTGACCCAGGTAACACATCCATGTGGAAACAACATTGAAACAACATATCATGTCCACATTTTCAATGTTGAAACATTAACCCTTATACCCTCAGCGCACCTATCCATCAGCTCCATCTAAATCATGCTCTTTTAGTTACATAAATGGCTCAAAGGTTGTTTTTGTTGTTTAGTTACATAAATGGCTCAAGGGTTGCTTTTGTTGTTTAGTTACATAAATGGCTCAAAATGCTTCCCTAAACACAGGTGCTAACTGCAAAAGGTACATATGCGATGTAGTTCCGGACCAGAGAGTTAGGCCAGGTACTTGGAAAGTAGGCTGAGTGTGAAAGGGTTAAAATATCACATTGATTCCATATGAAGATGTTTTCTTCAATATTGCATCAACATTCCCTGTTAATGTTGAAACAATATTGATGGTAACACTCAATATTATTTCCACACTGCATCAATATTCATTCAACATTCCTTGATGAATCTCTGATTATTGTGTTCCTCCAGGAGCAAAGTATAGGTAAATTCAACAAGGTGAATCACAAACCCTATGGATAATGATCTATACAAATTAAGGTGGGTAAATCTTCTTCAGTTCCTATAGGTTGGTACCCAGAGGGTGGAGTACTGAAAAGGTTGAGAGGATGTGTCCTCTTCAGTATAGCAAACAGCATTGAATCATTGAGCACCTATATGGGGTGCAGAATGAGGACAAACTCCCTCAAATTCCCTTTTCCATGAATTGTGAATGGATCAAATCAAGTTTTATTATGTATGCTTTACATGTCACTAATCACATAAGCTTCTATATGCCCATACTAAATCTGAACATTTAATTTGTTTCAGAATCAGATGCTGCAATCAGAACATCACAATTTCACACTCCTCTAATATATATGCTCATTTATTACATAATAAAGAGGAAGGGGGGAGAAGAAAATGCTTTAATGCAGGATCATAGATACGTAAATGCATTAGGAGGCTACAGGGGAACATGGATACCATCCAGTGAGGGCTATTGGTACTTCACTATGATTGTGCCTATGCAAAGTTACCTTAGTAATAGAACATTGAAACAACATTTATTCAATCTTCATCTTCAATCCTCAACATTTGCAAACTCGACCCACATTCAACCAATGTTTTTAAATGTTCTAATTATCCAGTAAATGTTTTTAAATATCCAATGTTGCTTGTGATATATTAACAGTCTACAAGATACATAAATATTGTTTCAATGTTGAATCAACATTATCCACATAACGATGCAAGATCACTCTAGGATGACTGTAGGATAAATGAAAATGGTTCATTTATCTCCAAACTAAAAAAATCAATATTCAATGCATAACAAAAGACATCATGCAACTCAAAATTTGAGGAGTCACATTTTTTCAACATTGAATCCATGTTGTGGTAGGTTAATGGCACTCTGAAAACCTATGGAAGCAGACAAACTATTCATCATTTTAAGAGGGGTTAACAAAGATGCCAAATCAAAGAAATGTAATCCAAATATTCTCCAATTGGAATCCACGATGTGATGTGACAAAATTCAATCAACATTGAAACAATGTTCACCTTCAACCCTCAACATTCACACACTCAATCCACATCCAATAAATGTTGATTCAATGTCCTGTGTTACCTGGGGATGTCTTGATTGCTGAACACATGGTGACTCAGTCTCCTGAAGGCAGCACTCGCTCATTTTATCCTGTGCTGCACCTTTTTGTCAAAGTTGGCCTTCTGTGAAAGATGGCTGCTGAGGTATGCTAAGTGATTGATGATCTCCAGATCCTGTCCACTGATGGTGATCTTTGACAGGGGGGTTGGTTGACTTGGAGCTGGTTGGTGGAGAACCTTTGTCTTCTCAAAGTTGAGGGACAGACCCAGGCACTGGTATGCATCCAAGAAGCAGTTCAGGGTCAGTTGTAGATCCTCCTTAGAGTGCACAGCAACAGCGCAGTAATCAGCAAATTGAAGGTCATGGTCAATGTCACTTTGGCTTTGGAACAGGGTCCAGAGATCGAAAAGCTTTCTGTCTTTTCTGCGTAAGAAATTCCACGTCATGATTGTCAGTGAACTGTTGGATCTCCTTTGCCTTTTCTTCCCACCATTTGTTTTTAATGTCTTGGATCTTCCTCTGATGGCATCAGGTGATGAAGCCAATTGTTTCAGCACATGCCTCCTGGATGGCTGTTTTCAAGGCAATCCATCCCTCCTCAATGTTTGTGTTCTCAGCTGTGAGGTCAGCAAGTTTCTGGGCAAGGCATTGTTGGAGGTTCTCGCATTGTCCATAGGTTTGGAGGCTTCTAATGTTAAGTTTCCTACAGGCTCCTTTTGGTTGCTTATGACATTTCTGTGTGATCCTGATGGACATGCTTGATCTCATGAGGCAATGGTCAGTCCAGCAGTCATCAGCTCCTATTGTGACTCTGGTGATGCAGGCATCTTTTTGATCACAAGCTCTCATGATGACATAGCCAATGAAATGCCAGTGTTTAGAATAGGGGTGCCTCCAGCTTGTCTTGTACTTGTCACTTGTTCTGAAGATGGTGTTGGTGATGACAAAAGATCATGCTCAGTGCATTTGCTAAGGAGGAGAATGCCGCTTGAGTTGGCCTTCTCCACTCCTTCTTCCCCAATGGTGCTGCACCAAAGATCCAAGTCACAACAGACTCTTGCATTGAAGTCCCTGAGGAGAACGATCTTGTCCTCTTTAGGGATGGCAGTTAGGCCTTCTTCGATGTTGGTGCAGAATGTTTTTTCATTTCTTCTTGGGTGTTGAGGGTTGTTGTTTATGCATTAATGACTGTGGCATGGTGTCTGTTGCTCAGCTGAAGATAAAGGGTCATGAGACATTCATATGCAGCCCAAGAGTTCATCAGAGACCTTGGGTACTGTAGAGTGGAATGGTCTGATTGACATGACATAGCATGCAAGTCAGGCCATGAAGTTCATTTGAAACCAAAGTTAAGAATTGAGTACTAGCCATGATTTGAACCAGACTAAATGGGTTGGATTAAAAAAATAAATCAACCCCTGCATGCCATCTCCAATGGGTGGAGAGGCAGACATAAATGCAAATAAACAAGCAAAAATATAAGCTATAACATATATGAGGCACCATGGAAGAAGGATGGTTTCCATCTTCATACAGGGTAAGTAAAAGAAAAAAAACAATTTTAAATCTAAATATATATTCTCCTATGGGGGCAACCTTCACAAAACTTGCACTGTGCATAGATTGATTTTTCCCCCCAATAGATCAAAGTTTCATCCAAATTTGTAGCACCAGGGGATGGCAATAGGCAATTATTAACATTCTGTGGTTGCATATCATCCAGGTCACAATGAACTTCTCTTCCATTGAAATGTATTCATTGGGCTGGTCCATTCTAACAGATGGTCTTGATGGGTTTTCTTCCAATTATTGATCAAATAATTAATAAGTATTGAAACAAAGAGTTTGCCTAAAGTTTATCCAGATTTTTTCTTGGCTTACACTAGAAAAGGTGGCAGGCAGAGTATAGTCACTCTGAAGGAACTGAAGTCCCCTGTTCATCTTCAGTTTTATATATTTTTAAATATTAGTTCATAACCTTACTTTATCAGAACCAATTTGAATGGAATTTTGATGGTCTGTTGGGAACATGAAGTGATGAAGCATCCATATTTCATAAAAATAGCTTGGATTAGTGCAAATATATGTAGATTAAGAGTTGTTCATTTATATCCCATGCCCTATAGATCATGTCCCAATATGAAAAACAGGTAGAAGCAGACCAATGAAATGATGTGAATACTTTGGAATAGAGAGAAATTAAGTGAACAAACCAGTTCCATAATGAAACTTCCCATGGAGAACTCCAGCCTTTCCAGCAAGGAGTTCCATGAGTTTTCCAACTGTCATTCGAGAAGGAAACCCATGAGGATTCATGATCATGTCAGGACACACACCTTCCTCACTGAATGGCATGTCTTCTTGGCTCACAATAAGACCTGGAACCGGAAAAAAGGAAGAGAAACGTCACCTAACAAATACAGAAGGTTGGCTCTGGAAATTCGTAATTAAAACCAAACTACATGCCATGTTCAATACCAAAACATCATATTCGTTATGTTTAGAGATCGACCGATATATCGGTTTCCGATATAAATCGGCCGATATGTGCATATCGGTGAGTATTCACATAGGCTCTTTCATGCATTCCGATTTTGGCCGATATCAATAATACAGTTCTGTATAATCATAATCTTACTAGGACTAGCTCTTCCGCTTCCAAATGGAAACCTTGGCGTATTAGTGTTCTGGCCAATACGGCATCATCGAGAGGCGAGGAACTGCAAGTCTTTCGCTCTGCTTCCGTTCTTATTCTCGTACATAGAAGTTAGGCGTATTCACGGCTACGGGAAATTCAACGGCTAAAACGATAGACCTTCGCCCTAAGGGTTAGGTTTCGCTGATGATTGTCCGAAAGTACAAGGGCTGTTAATTTAATTCGCAGACACGGGGAGGGGGACACCTGCCGTTTCCTGAACCTGTTCAATGAAAAGGCTCTCGTATATAATTTTTGGCCTGCTGCCTTACGCTACGTTCAATTTAATCAGGGTCTAAAACGTAGGCCAAAACGTTGCGTGAGCGCAGGCCTAAACTTTTCCTTAAGACCCTCCCCTGTTCAACCATGAGAGAACCGTTCTCTTTCGCGACACAGACATCGATACCAAGTCAGTCTCAGCCGTCAAGAAATAGTGACCAAGCACCCTTTCTAAAATTTTACCTGTCGCTTACCCAATTCGTTAAGTAACCAGCTCCAGAGCGTCTCAGACACAGTTCTGTTCTTCGTGTCAAATAAGTGAACGGGAAAAAATTGGACTGGAGGGGGGGACGAGTCGAAATGGCGATCTCCCTACACCAAAATTCGTGGAAATTTTTTCGAGTGGATAGATTGTAAGAAGCTGTTCTTTGTCATGTAAATGTTAGCTTGAGCTCATTGGTTGCCAAAGTGAAAAATGAAAGGAAAGATGGGAGGAAGATACGGAAATTTAAAAGCAGCCTGCAAGCCAACCAAGTGGAAAGCAAGGCCCCATAGGTGATGTTGTGGGTCTAGGTTCAAGACCTGCTTCTGATCCATCACCAGTAGGACTGCAACAGTCAGCACTGCACGTTCAGCAGGCAGAAAAAGTGGCACTCCTCTCATCCCAGGTGTATAAAAACTAACAAGTTCTTTCAAGATTCAAAATAGTGATGTCAAGAGGCGATTTCACCCATTCGATATCTCGTGTCGAGGTCGAGCGTTCCTTAATTTTAGGGTAGGCCTAACCCACTGAAAGCTAATTTTTTTGCTTTTTGTTTTTTGACTATCCTAGTTGCTTCCTGTCCAGTACCTAACGTCAGCATTGCCCCCACCCTTTTGCCTGTACATGAAAGCATCCAGTTTCTTACTAAAGATAGTTACAGAAGGGGCATCCACTACTTCGTCATTAACGCATTCCACGCGTTCACCACTCTGCAAGTAAAGAATTCCTGTCTCGACCTGAGCCGCACCTGCGGTTTGCGCAACTTAAGTTGGTTACCTCTCGTTCTCTTGCTGCCATCAAACTGGAAAAAGCTACCACACTCGACATTATCTATTCCTTTAATTATCTTGAAAGCCTGGATGAGATCGCCCCTCCTTGCAAGTGCTACTTGCATCCGAACGACGAATGTAACCTAGAATCCTGTTGCATTTGGCCACCGTCGCTTGCGCGTGCGAGGAAAACTTGAGGTCCTCGTCGATAGAAACTCCTAAATCTCTCTCTCCGTTTGCCTCATCCAATTTAACATCGCCGAACGTGTCGAGAGACCTACCGTTGTTTCGACCGACGTGGAGAACTTTACACTTACTTTTATTAAACCTCATGAGCCATTTCTTGCTCCACTCGTCCAAAAG